GAAGCACGAGGGCTGGGATACTGCCAGGTTGCCCAAGCCTAGACAGGGGAAGTCGAGAGGCAGAGGTCGGGTTCGAACCACGGACCTTTCGGTCAGTAAATTCGCGCTCTAACCACTTGTGCCACCTCGCCAATTTTTTTGTGACTGATGGTTGAGCATACCGCTTGTTTCATAAATTCATTCCAGTTTGTCCACGATGTCTATCACCTGTCCTTCATCAACTGACCACGTTCTCCGACTTTTTACATGTTTCTGATCGTACCTTATTCCTTGCTTGAAAGGGCGCCGAGTGTTTTGTTGCGTAAAAGGACTGAACCAGTCATTTGACGGCGTGGTTCTTGATGCTGTGCTCGCATCAAGTTCGATGGATTTTCACTGCATTGACCAGATGCTCCAGCTTCGTGATGTCATCAAAACTGAGTTTGGCTCCTTCGACATCCTGTCCTTACTCAGTGCGCTTCCTGCAGGAGAGATTCACTGCCCACGTGTCGTTGTGATTTTCCACGTTTTTCAGTCCAGATAAACCTTGTTTTTGCAGTGGATTCAACTCTTTGTTCCACTGCCTTACTGGATTTGTTCTGATGTTCATGAGCAGACTTCCTCAGGTTCAAAGGCCTCCGTCCAGCCTTCTTCCGTGATGTCTGCACTTGCTACTTGTTCATCGTTCAGTTTGGCTACTGTCCATGCTCTTCGGTGCCTCAGTAGTGGCTAACGGGTCACAGCACGTGACAGAGTGGGAATTACAGCCGTCGTGGACCGGTGAAAGTCTCCCACTGATGGGCTGTTTTGAGCGTGACTGATTTGCTCATCGGGCCTGACATGCATTAACACAAGTGGAGAACGGACTAGCTGGACAACCAACGAAGTAACGTCGAGGAAAACTGAACACTGCACAAATCGTAAACAGTTCAGTCGAATCAAAACTCCTGGAAAGAATTCACCCAATGAACGAATCGAAGGCCAGAATTGCACATCACAACACAACAAAATCGCGAATGGACCAATAAATCTACGAAGACTATGCTTTTCTGTTAACCAATCACAGTGGCATGTATCAGACCCTCTTTGAGACCTATAGAAATGCGAACTAGCAAGGAAGTTTCATCCACACATCGGTGCATCAATGTTGTCTCCAGATGATGGTGATAGAGTGTTTGCAAGCCACTTACCAAGCTCTGTGAACGGAAACGCAATCTCTTCATCAACAACTAGTATTCCAGTCAGAATTAGAGTCTTGACAGCTGCTATGGGTAATAAGAGTAATTATTCCGGTCTAAATCAGTCCAAAGTGTGAATGTGATACAGTCTCTACTGATTTATGAATGTCAGTTTTGAACGCGGTTGTCTAGTGGAGCAGTCACTCTTGCGCCAATCAGGCAAATTTGCACACCTTTAAACAGGGATAGAGTGTCTTCCCTCTGGTTGATCATCATCATCATCAAAGACAGCAGCATCAATATATATATATATATATACATATATATATATATATATTAAAAACCCTAGAGTGAAAAGAGGAAAAGAGTGGATGGGGAAGGGAAACTAGTGCCGACCTATGTCATGCATTCTGAGATGCCTCCAACTGCTCAATCAGACAATCTGGAAAGAAACTGACAGCACAAACGCCACTGACATTGTTTAGCCTCCATTTCTTGCAACGCATCCAGCCAAGCACAGACGGAGTCACGGGGACCCCATCCTGGAAGACGCACTGCATCAACAACACCCAAACTCTTCGTGATCTCTTTGACGCCTTTCTGCCAAGTCATGTGCTGTCCACCTCGCGGTTTCTGCCATTCTGAAGGAGGCACGGAGAACACTCGTCTCGGTAGATGGTGTTCCGGCATATGTAGCACATGACCGAGCCATCATATTCGATGATTCTGGATGTTTTCTCGGATTGGAGTGCCTGCAGCACAACCAAATACCCGTTTCCTATCACCTCGGTGCTAACGCGCCGACGCCTTCCACAACCCGCCACGCTTCTGAGGCATCGGTGGTCGACAACCTGGAGAGGCCTCACATCATCTGTCCTCTGGTTGGCTGTATTAAAACTTTGATTGGCCTCGTTTGCTGCATTCTGGAGATTACACTGCTGTCCTCTCCTAAGAGAAATGTACTTTTAAGGCGATTGTGTAACAAGCCTGTCCAAGAAATCTCCGTTGTACAAGGAATAGACTGCCTCTCAAGAGATGTGCCTTACGGAAGGAAGAAATGTGGCCATCTGTGTTGCATATTCGACGCATGCGGCTTCGCGTGACAAGTTAGGGTTAACCTCAAAAAAACCGCTGTTCTGGGTGCTATCGATTCGACTGACACAAGGACACAGTATAACGGAGCTTGCAAGAATAAGGTTTTTACGGTTCATCTACGGAGGTCCACTAAAAGTGACCTTGTCGGACGAATGGGCTGTCGTAGGAGCGCATCAAAGTACGGTCAAGCCTCTTGAATTTCATGTATCGATTAGAAGGTAATCTGTCAAATTTGATAAGCCTGTGCGCCCAAAGAGGAGGAAAGTTAAACGAGCCACAGAGAAGCAACCCATTCCGCATGGACTGGAAGCTAGAAACAGCCTTTCGTAAAAGTCGCAGATAACCATAAAAATGTTTATTACTTGTTACTAATTGTTTGTCCCCCGAAGGAATTGTCCTGATCTCAAGCGCTGAATGCTAGTACTGTCAAATTCAATCAAGAATGTGAATGGCGTAAGATGGGCCTGCTGTTTTTTCTGCACTTCGTTCACCGTGCTGATCGTATCGAGTTTCATTACCATTCAGCCAGTAAAGGAAAATTCTGACGCACCATCCCTCAAATAGGTTGACTTCTATCTCATATCAAAGGAAAGTGCTTCCACCGTCAAAGAGAAGGTCTTCGTAAGAAAATTGTCATTTTGGTCTGTCGAGAGCAGGTACGCTCTTCGGAAGGGGAATGAGCTGACAATTAAATCTTTTTTGTCTTTGGTTTCCCACAAAAACAGACACTGCTGTAATCAAAGTGACAAGCAGGCCCTCGGTAATTACGCTTTCGAGGTTGACTAATTTATAAGTAAAAAATAGAAATTAACTCCAGCATTGATCAGTGCACGAGGGCAGGAGAGGCCAGGCTCAGGGGTCACGTGGTCATCAATCAATCAGGACACAGGATAACAGAACAGCCAATGGGACAGACCGACCGAGCAACCAATCCCTATCGGAGGTCAGCCCCGGCTGGCTGCATGTATAGCAACACACACATTCACACATACAACACGAATCAACGCACAGCCACCAAACCATCGCTACGCTCCACCACGCTCCCTACCAACGTACTGAGGATGTCACCTCGATTGGTGATGAAACGTTTGCAATCAAACTGCTCAGCTCAGCGAACCCACCAACTACCAAACTGGGACATAATCGGCTGCATTCAAGCCGAGAACAAAGATCCCGGCGCTTATATAATTTTTTAGTAACGGCCTTTCGTTTTATCGACTCCGGTAGAGTTCACCATCTTCAGCACAACCATAATTTCAATTTTTCTCGAAGTAGATTTGTGACCAAAAATCGTTCAGCTGTAGCACTCTTTCGGTGCCTAACTGCCATGCCACCAGAAGAAAGCACGAAGGCTGGGATACTGCCAGGTTGCCTAAGCCTGAACAAGGGGAGTCGGGAGGCAGAGGTCGGGTTCGAACCACGGACCTTTCGGTCAGTAAATTCGTGCTCTAACCACTTCGGCCATCTCACCATCTCTCAAAGTAAGCACATCAACTACTAATCATGTGATAGACGGAAGCCTTTGTAAGCTCTGATTCTTGCGGCTTATTGCGTTGGCTTACTTTGTAAGGTATAATAACATCATCAAGCCAAATTCTCGGAAAAAATCGCCAGACTTTTTAGTATGTCACACTTTTTAATAGGATATGGTATACAAAACTGGTTGGCTAAGTCTAGAAAAGGATACGAGCGCGCAGCTCCCAATCAATTTTGCCCATTTTCTGTAAATATCTATCCCGTGTTTCTTTATAATTACACTGAGACACTTATTTTCACGTATAATTTTGCAGAGTACAAGAATGGCTTGTCTTGGGGAATCGACTCCGACTAGAAAGGCAAAGTCCACCATTTTTTTCCGAAAAAAATCCAAATTCCCTTGTTTAATCGCTAAGCTACGTCAACTCTCCCAAAAGCACCTGTTTGTCCTTCTTCTGTGTTTTTCGATCCCTGGTGTACTTTTAAGGACAGGCATTCACTTTGTGAGGCTGCACCGTTCATTTTGGGTTTTCGGCGCCATCAGCAATTCTGCTGTTTAGCTTTCAGCCAAGTTTTACTCCCATGGTTCATGTGAACTACACCGATACTCACTGAGCCAGTTTCACCGACAACTCTAGACCATTTGTGCGGCCATCTAGTACAGAGAGTTGGGAATTGTGAGCGTAGTTTTTGATCTCAGATTTGGTAGTGTGATGCTGTTACGAAACTCTCGTCTCAGTTCGCATTTCTGCTATCGATCATGGTAGCTCGCTCCCGAATTCCATCACTTTTTTCGAAGCACCAGCGCTCCTGTGAGTGGTACTTACCAGTTTCTGCGCGCATTCCACCTGCATCACGTGAATCCTACCCTCTCTCTCTCTGGTTAATCACGAGGACCCAATGTTTTTTCTATGCACATCACCCAGTCATTGCGCTCTCGTTACGACAGAAAAAAGCATGGAACTGGTGATGTTGGGCTTACTGATTAACAAATAAATTTTCAGCGCAAACATCAGTTGGTCACGTGACCAGATTTGCTCGATTGCGGATGGCTTGTAAACACACACGCACGCAGGCACAAACGATAAGTGGTGTTTCGAGTCGTTTAACATGCTTTGACAAACAGTACACGACATGGGATCCAGTTTGTCAAACTGGTGACAACAGGTTGTGAGCATAAATAGGCATTGTTGTGTGAGCATCGATAAACTTTCACGCATCAACAATGGTTGATCGCCTGGCCAAAATCAAATGCGTGGAAATGCCCATTGAGATGCAAGAAGAGGCGGTGCGTACAGCAAATGAGGCGTTGGACACGTATTCAGAGGACTATGAGATCGCGGCCTACCTGAGACAGCGATTTGACAAGCTGTACAAACCAGTCTGGCATTGTTTTGTTGGTCGAAGCTTTGGTGGGTAAGTGGGAAACAGTGTGTTTATCGATTTCTTGGTTTTTAACCCAATGAAGTTTCTGGCTGGTGAGGAAGTAAGCGACCATATGTGTCATTATTAATTGCCTATTCAACGCAGCCCGTGTGCATCTAACCAGGTTGCTTCAAACTGACATAACCATGCATACTCGTGGTCACTGACTAGCTATCCGACAAGAGAACTTTTGATTTCGTTATACCGTGTGTCACAGTGAGCGCCAGTTAGGTCGGCGTTCATGAAACGTGGCTTAAACTGAACCCTGGCATTTCCATAACTCCAGTCTATGATTGGACAATCTGGCAGTATCTGGACCCTCGTTATTCCTTCGGGTAGCTTGGCAGCTAGGCACCGAAAGGGTGTTAAGACTGAATTGTTTGTTTTCATAAAGGAAACTACTCACAAGGTTGCTGAAAACTCTTCGACAGCCCACGACCGGTTTCGCCTCATCGAATCAGCGTAGTTCCCGAGTTTCCGTCAACCTCATGTTCTACTTGAACCCAAATTGCACCGTTTTCGAGAAATACACTCATTTGTAAATCAATTTGGTTTTCACAAGAAGCTCAACTGAATCTCTCATTTATGATATTTTACAACTGAATGTGCTACACACAGGCCGCCTCATGATTCAGTTGGCCCGATATTCGAGATATCGCAGTATATTTTCGTAAAGGAAACTACTCACAAGGTTGCTGAAGACTCTTCGACAACTCACGACTCTCGAATATTGTGCCAACTGAATCATCAGGCGGCCTGTGTGCAGCACATTCAATTGTAAAATATCATAAACGAGAGATTCAGTTGAGTCTCTCGTGAAAACCAAATTGATTTTACAAATGAATTGTTTGTTCTTTCATTCACTCATTCTGTCATACTGGACTAAGGTCGTTGGATGGTGGGAAGGGGAGCAGATTACTGACGGCTAATTTAAGTCACGTTTTATGGTTCACCTCGCTCAGCAAAATGACACGTTACCTGGACACGAAATGTCACGGTTGATTTGGCTGTTTGCAACCGCTGTGGCTGCTTTGTCAGGCTCACTAAGCGGCATTTGAATACTGAACTACAAACCCGAGGAGTGTTAGTCATGTGATCAACCGATAAATTAGACATCGATATGCACGTGGGTGTACTCTGAAACAAGACGTATCTCAGCAATAGGCATGAAGGTATAAAGGTAGGGAAGCATTCCTTGAAGAGGTTTCTCATTCTTGAAGGTCAGTTAGCCCTGAAATCCAAAAAAAGTGATGAAAATTTCCCCTCTTTTAAGTTACCAGATTGAGTCTTGACAGACAATAAGTTACCGACTGCTAACTCATGAAGAATTTCTGTCGGAATTTCTATCACGCGGTGTTTGGCTGCGTGAAACTAAGTACAAACATTATCGGATGAACAGCTAGTATTTGTACAAGAATATGATTCCATCTTGGGATAAACCTACGGGAGAAACTTCTATCCCTTTCCTCCTCTGGGCAGGGGAAGGCTGTAGTCTGGTGCCAGTGGACAAGATTAAAACTCGGAAAAATTTGGATGGATCTGAGTTATAGCGCTGTCGGTCTAATTAAGTCAACTACCAGTCCGACTGGAATAGATCCAGTTCACGTACACGGAACCCGGTGGATCTCAGAACGTCCGCTAGCACTTGTTGAACTCAGAGTAGAATTCGGATAGGCGATCGATGAGACAACAGTTCAAACGCAACCCGTGTGTGGATAGAGAGGCATCGTGAAACCAGAAGGTTCCAGAAATGTAAGAGCCAATGTGTTCGGGAAGTTTTGGGACTTAAAAACTATCCGATAAGTGAGTAAATGAAGGGCAAAATTGCAAACTTAATTCATTCTGGGAAACCAGGTGGACAAGTGGAATATATTGGCTAATTTTAAGCCACCGTCTGTGAGTTGACAAAGTACCAATATGCCTTTTTGCCTTCAGGTGCCATCGGGCCAGATCAAGGTCTCCGGCGTTGTTATAATCTACAGAGGAATTTAGGCACTTCGCCTCTAACTAAGTAGTTTGTACGTAATTAAGAGCGGAAACGTTCTCCAGAGAATTTAGACAAATTTGTGGCCACACACAAAAGATACTGGAAACTAGTATGGGATTTTTAAAGTCGAAGTACTACACTGTGCTCCACTTAATTGAGTTTTAACCTTGAAAAATTTCATGCACCGCATGCCGCTCAACACTACGCGAACCGAACTTGGCCCCGAACTCCAAAGTACTGGAGCCACCACAGCTGGCAGAAGTCCTAACTTTCATAGTTACCGGCCTCCCCCAACATGTGCGGCGTGAGTCCAAGAACGTCAATCAAGATTTAGACCTGGCGTCACGCATGTCACCGACCAGCGATGGCAGTTTTCCCCGACTTTAAAGGAGCCTTCAACTGTGTGGACAGAGCGGCTGCTCTAAATATTTTTTGCGAGAAACAAATTTACTTAAGTTCAAGTAGAACATAAGGTTGACGGAAACTCGGGGACTACGCCTACCTGATGAGCCCCAAGAAGGACGAAACTGGTCATGGGCTGTCGAAGAGTTTTCAGCAGCCTTGTGACACTGTACACGTTCACTTACAGTCGAGTTAGTGTACACAGTGACCTGACCAAAAACTTCCGCACAACGAGTGCGGAGGTCTGTTACCTTCGCCCTTTTCTGCCCACAAGTATCATCGATTTTGTTGTGAAATTCCCACTGTGAGGGACAATAAATCTGGTATGGGAATCATGCATAGAGAGAGAGCTTAATGGACCTGAATTATAGGGACCAGATCGTTTTGTTATCTGACGATGACTGTTCCGCTCAAGGTACTCGGAACCGCCCTTGACTTGGCAGAGGAGTATGAAGGAGATCACGAAGCGCTTGGATGCCGTCGGTGCTACTCGCCTCCAGGATGAGGACCGCGTGATCCTCAATGGTTGGAGATACTACAAGATATGGCTGCCGACCGATGTCAGTGGCGTTCTTGTTGTCAGCTTCTCTCCAGATCATCTGATTGAATGCTTGGAGGCATGGGCTCCTCGGAATGATTGTGGTAAGCTAGCACTAAGTCCATTCCCCGTCCACCTTTACTCTTTTCTTTACAATAAGGCTTTCAAATAAATCATGGTTGTACGGCAGTGAAGCAACGGTGTTGGACACTGATGCCATGCTGTCGATGAGGATTATGATGATTCATAACCGAATACCGGAGATGTCTCACATTCTGGCATGCAAATTGAATCTAAATTGCACAGCTTTACTTTAGAATGAACAGCTTTTGGTTTCCCTGATCGGTTCATGTCATGCATAAGTCGTGCGGAACATCAAGGAACAACTTAAGACCGGAGAAAATTCCTCTGAAGCGAAATGACTGTATATAAAATACAGCTCTCGGATCGATCTCAGAATAGGGTTGGGAATGTGTGCCCCAATCCGAGAACCTTAGACGTCCTCAAACTTCGGATCACATGCGTTTCCATAGCTTAGCAAGTGTAATCCGGTTACAGGGAGTGAGCAACGAGGTGGTGCGTAAACGGGTATTCGGTCTGTTTTAGTCTGGGTAGCTCTGTTTTCACGTGGATGGAAACCTTGAAGAATGCAACACTCAGTCGATCCCATTTGTACACACACTGTTCTTCTCCTAATCAGCCGGTCCAGTCAAGGTTTCCTATCGTCGTGAGCAAGACTTTTGTCAGGTTGATCAAGCTGATGACCCCAACATGATGCTCACACGCGGTCCAAATATGTACAAATGTTATTCTCGATCGTCTTCTCCAAAGTAAAGGCTTCTTCGCTCTGAGTTCCTACACTTCCATATTCTTCTCACTTTTTAGTAAGGGGTTCTTCCTTCATCGTTTTATGTCAGCCACACGCCAACTATACATTTCTGGTGTTTTGCTATCAATGATGTTGTGAGTACTGTTTATGTCTTGCTTCTGGATTCGGGTCCTATGTATGCTTGCTGCATGCAACAGCCCAGTTTTAGCCCGTCTAAACTTTCCGCACACACGATTACATGCGAATCGATTAGTTGGAACAACTAATATCGTTTAGTTAGCTGAATAAATCATATAAGTCACGTGATTCAATCTTCATTTCTGGAAATAATCTGAAGAGACTTGTTTCAACTTTGGAGCACGTCTTGGGTGGCCTTAGTATGCCAACAAGAGGAGAGATCACCTATGAAATCAGCTGATCCTTACTTTTAGACCTTGTTTTATGTTTTTTTGTGTACTGAATATCGTATATCTAGCTACGAAGGTTATTTACGGGGGAAACATATGAGGCGCATGTGCTCAGCTGATCTCACAGATAATTCGAATTCATTCTGAATGTCATCCAGAGAGAAGCGTGCTTTAAGAGGATAAATCAATAAATGGTGCAATAAACTGCTAGCACATGGTCTTATTTGGTGATGAGTAATGGGCTGCGACAATCTGGTCCTTGGTATCGAAGGGAACGCAAAGCGGCAAGTCAGTCTCTGGTCCCAGTCTCCTCTCCGAACCGAAATAGATGAATAAACAAATTAAAAGACAAGAATGAAAAATGATCAATGTACTGTGGATGAAGGCTGATTCGTATGTGTTGATTCTTAAATCAGATCACTATCATCTCCATCCTCATCAGAGACAGCACCCACTCCTCGTTGCAAGGTTTATTTAATTATCAATTAAAGTTTCAAAGCGAAAAGAAGAGAAAAGAGCGGGTAATGCATTAGAACTGGTGCTCGCCTATCTGAGATGCATACATCCCCAATCTAGAAAGAAACGGACTGATATCGATTAACTGCCATTTCTTGCAACATCTTCAGCCACGCAAGCGGCATCCCGTCCTGGAAGGCAGACTGCACCAGCACCACGAACGGGACATCAACTCAGAAATCCCCTTCAAACACTTTGGCCGCTTATCCACTGTCATGGGGAGTCGATACAACTAAAAGCAATCTCAGAGGCGGTTACTTCCAGACGCAGTTATTGTGCCTGCAGGATGGGAGTTACGACTGTACCCGGTATGCGTCTGACAGAGGTGAGTGGTCAATGAAGCAATGAGATGAATGCTAGAGGGTTTCCAAAACCCCGATGTTCAGAAAGAAAACCTAGTCGATCTGGAATTAGCAGACGACATCGTTCTCATCTGCGAAGAGGAGAAGGCGCAGGTGTTTTTGGATGAACTGACCAAAGTCATCACGTCCTCTGGTATACGCTTTGCGCCCACAAAGGTTAAGGTCATACTCGTGGACATGCAGTCACTGAACACGCAACCCACAATCCAGGGAGAGGCACTGGAATTTGTGGAGCGTTTTACGTATCTTGGAAGTTGTAGTAGTTCTGACTGTAGTGTGACAGATGAGGTGAATGCGCGGATCTGCAAGGCACGGATCGCGTTTGTTAATTTAAGACACCTATGGTGTCAAAGTGATGTATCCTTGAATCTCAAGGACGTGTTTATCAGGCTACAGTGCGGGCTGTTTTTTGTTGTATGGCTGTGAGAACTGGTCTGTTCGAGCAGTAGAACTGAGATTTCTACAGGTGTGCGACAATTTTCGTCCCAGAACCATTGATCGTGTGGGTTGTTGTCGGCGAATCCGTAACGAGGCAGTTAGGAAGCGCGTTTTCGGTTGCGCAACGGGTACTTCCATTGAAGAATGTGTCCAGCACCGGAAGCTGCGTTGGTTGGTACGTGTGTTGTGTAAACCTAGCCATTATTTGCCGAGGAGAGTGCTGTTTCCCATGCCCGGTTCAGAGTGGCGTAAACAGAGAGTTGGCCAACCCTTGGCTTGGCAGGGGGATATGAAAGAGATCACGAAACGCTTGGGTGCTGTCGGTGCTACTCGCCTTCCAGGATGGGGACCGCGTAATCCTCGCTGCCTCAAGTTGGAGACGCTGCAAGATATGACTGCCAACCGATGTCAGTGGCGTTCTTGTTAGTTTCTATCCAGATTGCCTGAGTGAATGTCTGGAGGTGTAGGCACCTCGGAATGATTGTGGTAAGCTAGCATTAAGTCACTTCTCCGTCCATCGTTACTCCTTTTTTCGCAATAAGGCTTCCAAATAAGTCATGTCCGTATGTTAGTGAAGTATCGGGGTTGAATACTGATGTCATGCTGTCGATGATGATGATGATTATGATATGAGTGAACCAAGACTGTGGGACCGGTACAGCATGGTGAACCACAGTGCATTTGTTTGGACATCTGGCTGGAACGTTTCTGCAATCAAATCGGATTGTTTGGATAGATTTGATGAAATTCGGTGTGGTATGTGAAAAAGAAGAAGAAATACCGCACTTGCTGTGGCGACATCAGGAATCGAATTTTGTCTCCTGTTTTGTTAGTTGCGTTTAATTTTTTGGTTGAAAACTTCCTTTGCTAACCAGGATGACACAATCAGTGTCGGTTGCATTTGCGCTGTATCGCATTTTGGTGGTCTACCGGCGTGTATGCATTGCGTCTTGCTACTGGTGGTGTTTATTGAGCGGTAGGTAATATTCGACTGCAATTGATTTTCCGGATGGTTGGTCCCATTGGTCAGCCCGTAAGCTCAATATCTGATTGGTTAACGTTCGAGTGACCTTTGAGATTCACATGTATGACTCGTACTCTGCGGACCTTGTCTAGTGGCTCTCTAATGCGTCTATCTGACATTCGGTTCTCCTGAATTTGTCCGATTAGGCTGATGACCATTTGTTAGTTGTGGCGGACTAAGCCTGTCTCGTATTCCGAAACCGCGTACTCTTCTCATTTTCTGAGCTGAAATTGCGTCATTCTCTATTTTATTGAGTGGAAGCCAGAACCATGTTTTATGGTTTTTACCACCGTGTAGACCGTTTTTACCCGTTTTCTCCATTCTGTCGTTCTGCGCTGTTGATTCGATAAACAACATTGTTTTTTTTTAACACCAGTTGATTTTGAGCGATAGTATATTCTCTTTAGTTTACCATTCGGTTTTAGTTACCAGGATATTTTTCGGGTTTCGCGAGATTTTGTCATCTGCAGAGAAATGATCAGTCTGCATATTTGACCGAATGCTTTTGTTGTTCTTGCTGTCTAATGGACTTCTTCGGATTTTTTTTATGTAATCTCGTGGTCGCCTGATGTTCTGACGTAACTGATGAAGAAGATATCTCCCTCTGTTCAGTTTCAGTGTACAGCAATGTGCCCTCTTCCTAACTAGTACGTTTAGAAGTGAAACTTGGCCAAAATTTTTCAGTCCGATCGTACGTTAGACAACTTCGGTGGGGCTGTTATCTGCTGTTTATCCGAACCTTTTCATAATCAAGAAAGCGTTGCCAGTATGGCGGATTCATAGTTTCGCAGTGCGGTGAGCTTTTGCGTCTCTGCTTCGGTGACAAACTTGGACGTCAGTGATCGCATCGGAGTTCCGCCAGTCTTTGTTTGCCCTTTTTTGTCCTGGAACTTGAAATGCATAGGCCCAAAATTTTGATTCAGTTTTCCGTTGTGTTTGGAATATTGTACGTTGCTAATGCCTTCTTAATATCGTGAACCCGAGTCCGAACAGCCGCTTGATGGCGTGTTGCGCTTAGCCGAACCAGACAGCCAATCAACGTGCGAGTCAGTTGATCGATTGAACAGTGACGTGTTTGGATCCGGAAACGGGCTGATTACCAAGCTCACGTGAAAAGTTCCAGGCGGGCCAAAAAAAACCACACTAAAATTGTGACTCATCTGTCAGGGGCACGTGAAGAACAACCAATTACATATGTCCCAACGAAAACAGTTATTCCGTTGGTAGCTGTGTAGTCCAGTTACGTTCGGAGCTGGTTCACCTGACATTGTAAAACAACTCCAGTGCGATCCCTTCCACAAGAATATGATTCGCTGAAGTGAGCAGATCAGATGAAAAATTTATCACCGTCAATCCTCTCTAGATTGGTTAAAATCAGTCGGCACTACTATTCGTGTTCCGCTCTATCAAAAAGCGCTTCAACCTCTTTATATGTTCCGCTCTATCAAAAAAGCGCTTCAACCTCTTTATTTATGGCGTATTATTTTATAAAGCGCGCTACTCGATTGATTAAAAAAACTCGCGCGTTTTTAATGCATTCAGAATTGTAAACTGGTGGTCGGGTTTGAGAAATTCTGTACTTTTAGACTTGGGAGATATATGAGTATCAATTTGCGGTGTAAGGATGCAATGACCAACAGAGCGTTTGTGGGTTGTCAGTTTGGTCAACAGTATTGATTGCTATTGAATTGTTATTGAGGTGTTCTCTTGTCATTGAAAATGAATCTGCACTTTTTACTCGTCTTTCAAATGTACTTTGTGACGTTCATCTTTCAGCTTGCCTAAGAAAATATTAACCGTATGGATTATTTGTCACCCAGAATATAGCCGTGCATTCTTCCCCTTGCTGTTGTTCAGCGGAGTATGTTAGGCGCACGACACGGTACCTTTCTAAGAAAATACGTGATCAGTTCTCTTACCGGAATACCACCAGTCTCAACAGTTCAGCCAGAAGCTCAATTGCGTCCCACCTAATTAACACCGGGCACGTAGTCATGCCAAATAAGTCATTTCTTGTCATTCATCTTGTGCCCAATTGACTGCCACCATCTATCCAACGGCGTTGCTTGACTACAGCCGAGGCAGTCGCTATACACCTGATAAACGCGGTTTTGTGCTGTCAAAAACGTTTTGTACGAACGCTGAGTCTGCCTTGGTCGTGTGACACGAATCAACCGGCCCTCTAGACTGTCTCACATCCAACTAGATGCGACGTGGAGTGCACAGACAACCAATATTTCGTGTCTCTACGTCTTTCATTTCACCAACCAATCTTCGCCGTGTATTTCATTTTCACTTTTACTTAAAACATTAGATATTTACTGACCTGATGACGAGATCCCGAAAACATTGATGTTCTTCACCCTGTTCTTGCTCAAACGAGGGGGGAAATTAAGGCAAAATGCACTACCAACAGTGCTCAGTACTAGCAAACGCCTGAGTCTAATGGTTTCGTTTTACGTAATAAAAGTAGTGTCTTTAAAGTTCCCCATAAATTCCACTTGTACTTGTGGTCGAGAGACGGGGAACGCCTACATTCTTTTACAACCACCCTTTTATAGCTAATATTTTAAGCTACTATCTATTAGTTAGTAGCAAACAGAAACAAACAACTGGCTGTTTATCTCTCCATCTCCTTCAGATCGGTGGCATATGAGGAACACCATTTCATCTATTTCACATTGAGAAAACGTGCATTCATGTTGTACAAGTGGTCCTGAACACAATTCCGCTCGACCTAAAGACTTCTGCAATCACCGACCGTCGGAAATTTGCTAGATGTTCTGAACGTTAGACTGTTCGCGTTGCTCAAATTCTTTGCTACGTATTTACATGCAAAAAACTGATTTATTATCAATATAGTTTTTAACTGATCACAAATTGCTGCAGTTTTTTCAAGGGGAAATGGGGGACTTTCCTGCATCGTTCTGTTTTTCTGCTTGTTAGGGTAAGACGGCGTGTGATACGAACCAGAGAGAAATTCTCAATCGGTTTGTTCTGCTTCCGTTGAGAACCGTAACAGAATTCGAAGTTTGAGGCCGCCTGGAATCAGAGTGGTTTACTAACGAATGCAAGCAGGCATTCCACATTATATGCATAACCGTACAAGCAAATAGAGCAAAGCTCCGGAAAATTTTGAGGTGTTAAAACAACGAGAGAGTTCAGACGGTTTTATCGATGCAATATTCTGTCAAGAATGATCCACAGGGAAGTTGGTTTCAAGAAGATTCCTGATAATTTTACAGTCGTGAGTGGTGCTTACAAGTCATGCTTACTGTCAGTTTACTTGTGTCATTCAAGAATGGCACCTTTTTGACCCTGGTGGTTCTTGAAAAGCGTAACAGCTATACAAAAACGGCTTACAACCTGATTACATTCAAACTGGACCGAATAAAAGCCCGGACCTAGAAGGTCCCAGTAGATTAGTGAGTGGAACGTTGGTCTGACATTGGAGAGATTAGGATATTTCTGGTGACAAAACTCATTTCTGCTGTCCGTTTGTGGTTCGAAAAGCAGTTGTTGCATTAGATAAGGTTATTTGCTCTTACAACACTGAATGAGTTTACTTTTGAAAAGACAACTGGTAACTCACGTTTGTCTGTTCACTGAACTGTCTAATTGGGTTGCGAATGGGTTAACATCGTCCGTGCCTCGAGGATTTCACTGGGGCACCACGCTGTTTTGCCTCACAAAAAAAGCACTGACCGTATAGCCCAGATTGCTGATGAAATGTTCGTAATCCAACTGTCCGAATCAGCGAAAAACCAATGGATACTACTGATGAAGCATGGGAGTAGTATGTGGTCTTCTCATAAATCCGCTTCGCGTCCATTGAAAAGTACTGAATTTGTGGAATTGCTTCGTAGCATTCATTTGAAATTGAGTGATAGTCGATGAGTATCCAGGAAAGCTCAGGAAGATGCGTTCGAGAAGGCGGATACTCTGTTTTTATAAACAAGATGCATATGAGAGACTTGCTTTCCTGTCCAGTAAATAACTCCGCAGCGAGGGCCTTCTTCCTTTGGCTGGTGTCATGTTTCAAGGCTGGTCAGTTGACTGTTCGCTAAATTGTCTGATTGGGTTGCGAATGGGTCGACATCGTCTGTGCATCGATGGTTACACTGGGGCATCGCACTGGTTTGCTTCACAAAGAAGCACTGACCGGATAAACTCGGTTGGTTTCACGGGTTAACCGGCGGATATTTCAGGGGAAACAATGTGCCAGCAACGCCCAAACTCCTCCTGGTCTCTTTCACAATCTTCCGCCAATCTGTACGATGTCCAATTCAAGGTTTGCGCGAGAACAAAACTCACCTAAGTAAACGGTGCTTCGGTATGCGTGACGCACGGTCAATCCACTTTGTGTGAGTGGCTTTTATGCTAATCCAAAGATGTTCGGGGACTGAGATACCATGTGAACGAATTTGGCATTCTTTCATAAAGGAAACTACTCACAAGGTTGCTGAAAACTCTTCCACAACCCACCACTGGTTTCGCCCTTCTGGGGGCTCATCCGGTAGGTGCATTCCCCTTGTTTCCGTCAACCTTATGTTCTACTTGAACCCAAATTGGACTGTTTTCGAGAAATACACTCATTTGCAAATCAATTTGGCTTTCACAAGAGACTCAAATGTAGATTATCATAAACGAGAGAGTCAGTTGAGTCTCTCGTGAAAACCAAATCGATTTGCAAATGAGTGTTTGTCTCGAATTTGACATTCATTTACCGTCACTATTTCACCATCTCCAACAAGGTACACTGGAGGACTTGTGTGCCCTGGAAATCGGACTTCAGAACTTGAAGTTATGCCCCCCCCCAAATTAACAGTTAAGAGAAAAAGTAGATCGGAATATTTACGAAATTCCTTGTCTTATATTTTTGGTTAAAATATCAGGAGAGGTCGTGGTGTGCAACGAAATTCAAGACAGCTATGCATTGAATAATACATGATCCTCGGAGTAAAGTATGCGTGAGATATAGTTTGGCAAGGACGAAGTATTAATAATCTGGTTCACGAAGATGTTCTGTATAAAATGATATGATGCGCTCTTTGTGGCTCAGAATCCAATCAACGGTGGTGGTGTTGTCCGCTGGTCCCTACTCAACGTTCTTGCTTCAAGGAGGTACGGAGACCAGTCCTGCCGGGCCCTGACCCAAAGTCTGTTTGGGTGCTGAAGTCTTGAGCGGTTGGAAGCCAAGTTCTTCTGGAGGGATACCAAACTGTCGCAGTTTACCCTCACAAGTCGCCAGTAAGTCGTTGTGGGCCTGAGAAGCGGAAAAGATATTAAAAAATCAATCAAAACGCAAAATCTCTTGCTTTTGACTGTTAGAACATATCACCCTGGAAGTCATATGATAAAAAGACATTCCAGACTTTGTTTTACTGGGCTTCTCTGAACTGTTCTTATCAGGGAGGTCAGATTCCCTGAAAGCAACCTCCGAACGCCCAGAACCCACTGCTCCACCAAAAACTCAACAGGAAAGCCGGCAAGCATCAAGGCCAGTCAATCATTCAATCAATTCAGCAAAACCTGATGAGTGTTCTTGCACGACCGAATGTGATCAGCGTTCAGGCACTTCACAGAGGCACGCCTATCAAGCAGCCTGGATCAATGTCAGAAAGTTCCGTTTAAATAGCGTGGGGCCGTTGCAAATTTTGCTGTCGCACTCGCACTCACTCACGCCCTTGCTGGCTTTTGTTCGGAATAAAACTGTTGTGTTCCCTTCAGAGGCACGTCAAGCAGCCTGGATCAATGTCAGAAAGTTCCGTTTAAATAGCGTGGGGCCGTTGCAAATTTTGCTGTCGCACTCACTCACTCACACGCCCTTGCACTCTTTTGTTCGGAATAAAACTGTTGTGTTCCCTTCTGTGAGTATTTTTTCTCCGGCATTATGCACTGGGCCAGGTCAGCAGCAAAAACCACAGATTGACCAGTCAGCAGATACAACTATTCTGTGCAATAGTGGAGCTCTATTTAGCAACATGAATTTTCCACCGGTGAATCAAAAGATGTCCAAAGTATATAACTGGCAAAGCGAACGGTGAGTTTGACAGTTTTGACTGACCGCGGAGGGTGTGGTTCTCAGTTCATGATCATCGATGCAGACGGAATCCCAGTGATTTGGATAAAACTGAAGAAGAGTGGATCAGTCAAGAAGTACAGAAATTTCTGACTTATTGGCATTCCGTCCGCATAAGTTTTGAGGGTCTTGAAGCGCACCCTTCTTTGAGTTTGATGTTAAATCACATATTTTAGTGTCGAAACTTATACTGCCTCATCATCGTTCGGGGGGGGGGGGTTACGCCAAATTGGTGGT